TTGTCTGGGACTCTTCATCAGCGCACATTCACTTAGGTTCCAACCTAGTTCAGTTCACAATAAAATCCTGAAACTAAAATGTATAATATATCCGAAAATAACCTTTTTCTCCCGGGGGTGGTTGTGTTCAAGGTCATTCGCTGATTATTAGTTACTGGTGCTTAAAGGCTAACTTCCCCACGACTCGAAGCTAAATAGATGGCCATATCTAAAGCATCGTTTCAACTACAGGCGGAACTTACGAGGATATCAAAGCAAGAATCGGAAAAAGCAAGACAACCTTTCACTACTCTCAAGTCTGTGTGGAGGTCAACAACACTCAGCATCAAAAATAAGATCCGGATTTTCAACTCCAATGTGAAGACAGTGCTACTCACTATACGGATCAGAGACTTGGCGCGTCATAAAGAGCATCTCAAACAAACTACAGACCTTCAATAACAGTTGTCTTCACTCAATACTCAAGATCAGATGGCCGGCCAGAAAAGATAAGCAAGAGAGATCTCTGGGAGCGAACCAACCAGGAACCGATTGTGAAACAAATAGGCAGGAAGAAATGGAGATGGATTGGCCATACTCTGAGGAAACAAGCCAACAAGTGACATCACTAGACAAGCCATTGCTCGAGTGGAACCCGAACAGGAAGCGGCGAGCTGGTCGTCAGTGCAAGGGTGACTTGGAGGAGGTCATGTGAAGAGGAGATGAAAGCGTGTGGGCAGACTTGGAGCCAGGTGAAGACTCTAGCAGAGAACCGAACGCAATGGAGACGCGTGGCTGAAGCCCTATGTTCCTCTAGGAACTAAAGGAAACAATAATAATAATCTAAAAACTAGGCAAACAGGATACTGAGTAGGATGATTATTATATCTTTCGAAAACAAGATTTACATCATATCAGAAAGGGAGAGCACTGTGTATTATAAAACATTCAAAAAAGAAATAGTTCTTATAAATTTTTCTGTTTTATTTTCACACTTATTAGGCGATAAATATTAAATAGTAACAATTTACCTGGAAATAATCAAACTGAACTAGGCAACAGCCTTATATCCTTATCTTTTTGCAAAGTGACAGCTTGTGGAATATGCTACTAACAATATTTTGTAAGTACTATACTATGTGCATAATGTCTCGTGCGAAAATAATGAATAGCTGAAGAGACGGATTAGATGGCGGAGAAGAACAAAGAAAGATCCTTGTGAAACAATGTGGAAATCATGAACGGCAGACAAAAGATGCAACAATACAAAGAACGTGTGTAAATGGAGATTTCGTGTGTAGGATTTCTGGATTTCATCTAATAACTATACAACATTTTACCAAATAAACAATTTTGCTACCATATACTACCATTTTCTGCTGCAAAATATGGTTTCACTGCCTCCGAACTGATGAATATCCCATGGCTTGAAGCTTGTGAAAGATAATAATATTAATTTGCTTTAATCCAGAAACAGTACTAGTGGTACAGTGTGGAATTTTCAGCACATATCTACAATATTTGCATCTAATTTTATCAAACATTTAAAAGGAGTATTTCAAAAAAATTAATATAAAGACAACAACAACAAAAAATAAAATACAAAATACACAAAATAATTTTTTTAATGCGAAAAAATAACAAGAAGTAGAAGGGAAAAAAGACAGCAGATAATAATATCTCAGTATTGGGTAGTGGAAGCTATGATGTGATTATGCATGGTGACAGTAAACCTATAGTCATACAAGAAGTTATGAAATGATATTTAAGAATGTTTATCGCCAAGATGATCAGTTAATCTGGTTGAAACAACTCTAAACAATCAAAAAATAGCATTTCAGGGTTGTTGTTTTGTTTTTTATTGTCAGGTCTAATGCAGTGTTTGTAGTGGTAGTGTGAGTAATCCTGCATAATACAAAGTTTTTTAAGGTGGTTACTATGGCGTTCACAACCAATGATTGTCAGTTTAATATTGCCGAAAAGTATAGAAAATAAGAAAAAACAACCACAAAGCTAATAATTACATGATGGTTAATGACAGGACAATTTTGTAATACTCATAGTGCTAATATAGTCGGAACCAGAGGATACGCAATAGAAGGAATATAGTAAAGTACAAAAAAGGAAGCCAATGTTAATATTTCAGGTAGCTAAGTATATTTGAAGAAGGAGTTCACTATAGAATACAAAATAAGAGAGAAATAAAACAGCCCAAAATTATGTTGTTAATAACAAAGCAAGTCATAAGTTTCACGCTTAACATTGTCTCTGTCGCTTACAACACGGGCCAAGTATGGTATCGTTGAGTTCCTGTACTTAGTTGTACGAGCATAGATTATTCTATACTGATTTCTGGTTCTAATTGATGAGATACAAGGCGAGAGTTGGGAATAGAGGGGGTGTTGGGGGTCGGAGAGTATGGTTTTAGACCATTTTTCGCATGTATTCAGATGCCTATCAACTAAAGTAGTGACGAGCTGACTGAGTTTTACACCACTAGTCCTACTAACTACCTTCAACATCCTTCTCAGGATGGCATAGTCCTTTTTCAGTAGCCCAGGAAAGATTAATGGGGAGCAGTAAAGTGGAATAGGTAAGATACAAGAGTTGACAAATTTTGAAAGTAGAGGTTGGGTGATTACAGACTGTATAAGTTTCTTGATGTAGTATGTAAGACAGAACACTTTCTTAGAAATCATTAGGATATGAGATGTCCAAGTAAGGTCGGAAGATAGAACTAGACCGAGGTATTTAGCATTAGACTTAGTTTTAATTTTAGTCCCCTCAACACAACAGTCTTCATGAGAACTAACTAGTGTTTGTAGATCTCGTTTATGCCTAAGGGAGAAGTCAGTAGTTATCTGGAGCTTCCCGCAGGACTTCAGAGCCGTTGCTACGTTGTCGGATCCTACGGTGAAGATGGTGCCACTGCGAACACTACTGAGAAATTGTGGGAAGGCTGTCTATGACAATTCGTGTGTAGCGAGCGGGTGAACAGACGGTTTGAGAAAATTTCGCTTTTTTGGGTATGTTCGACGTTTATTTTTATAAATTTGAATTAGCCGATATGAATTAATAATTTTCGATGGGAATTATGAACAAATCCAGCCACTATTGCCAATCTAGACTGCATTCGAAATTATAATTTATAAAAATCTGGCTTGCTTTCATTAATTTATCTGGTATTTGTTCAGTTGAGTGTTGTATTAATGCCTACTGATGCTTTCGAAATGTAATCTGACGATACTATTGATTAACTGTGATTCAATACAACATTGTTGTTGTTAATAGCGATACATGTTCAACTATTACTGTCGTGAAGATATAGAACCTGATGAAGAATTCATCAAAAAATCATATTCTTTGTTCATTAATCAGTCTTTTAAATCTTTTCATGAGCACCTTCAATAAATTCAGATTATGTATTTGACTAATCCTGAAGGTAATAAAGATGCTAAAAACTGGAAACGCACCAGGACCAGACGGAGAAACCAAGAAACATCAGGGGACTTGATGACACCACTACTGGAGAAAGTGTGAGAAGACGGCAAGGTACCTGCTGATTAGAAGAAAGGTTACTTATTCAGGCTGCCAGAGAAAGGGGACATAAGTCAATGCAAGAACTGGCGCGGAATTATGCTCCTGTTTATACCAAGCAGAATACTAAGCCGCATCATCCTGAAGAGAATCAAATACGCAACCCTGGATGAAGAACTTCGACTGGAACAAGCTGGATTCAGGAGAAACAAATCATGCATCGATCAAATCGCAGCACTAAGTTTCATCATAGAACAAAGCTTGGAATGGCAGTCGCCTTTCTCTCTCTCAACTTCATCGACTTTGAAAAGGCCTTCAGCAGACAGCGTCGATCGAGAGATGATTTGGCAACTACTTCACTAATACGGGGTGACGCCATCAATTATACATCTCATCCAACAGTTGTACGACAATGCTACATGCCAAGTAATCCACAACGCGAAACTCACGGAATCCTTCCAAGTGAGGACGGGAGTAAGACAAGGCTGGCTGGCTGCCTACTGTCTCCAGTGATTTTCCTGATTGTGGTAGAGTAGATAATGCAACAGACAGCGGCATTGTGCATAAAATGGACCCACACAAAACCTGGAGGATCTGGACTTCGCCGATGATATATGTCTGATTTCCCACAAACTGGAAGATATGCAAGTGAAAAGCAACAAGTTGGCAGAAGTAGCATCCAGAGAAGATAGGACATCAGGTGAACATTCAGAAAACAGAGGTGATGAAGGGTCCTGGCCAAATGCAACAGCAGCAACAATAATAGACAACAATCAGCATAAAGGGGAGAAATATGGAAGTAGCAACCCCCTTTACCTACCTACCTGAGAAGCATAGCTACAACTACAGGAGGACAGACCTGACGAGGATATCAAAGTGACAATCAGGAAATCAATGCAAGCAAGCTTTCATTACTCTCAAGTCTGTGCTTAGGTCAACAGCAATCAGCATGAAAAATAAAATCCGAATTTTCAACTCCAATGTGAAGTCAGTGCTACTTACCATACTTACGGATCAGAGACTTGGCGCCGTGCGGCGTCACAAAGGGCGCTTTGAACAAACTATAGACCTTCATCAACAGCCGTCTTCCCTCAATACTACTCAAGATCAGATGGGCGGCCAGGCAGAAAAGACCAGTAACAAGAATCTCTGGCAATGAGCGAACCAACTCAGCAGGAATCAATTGTGCAACAAATATGAAGGAAGAAATGGAGGTGAATTGGCTATGATCCGGGAAAACCATCAAGTGAATGACATCACTCACCAGGCTATCACTCGACTGGAAACCGAACAGGAAGCAGCGAGTTTGTCGTCAGTGAGAGGGTGACATGGAGGAGGTCATGTGAAGAGGAGATGAATGCATCTGTGTAGACGTGGAGGCAGTTGAAGAGGTTGGCAGAGAACCGGACGCAATGGAGATGTGAAGATGAAGCCCTATTTTCTTCTAGGAAAGAAAGGAAACAATAATAATATATCTGAATACAGACTATGTGCATGCCAGTGTACAAGAAGTTCATTTGCCAGAAGAGATAAGAAAGATAGTAAGTGTCATTAACGAACAGGTACAGGTCAAGAAAATAATCAGTACACATAAAAAGAACGGAAATTTAAGGAAATCTCTGGAGACATCAAATCACTTTCAAAGTCATCTGGAGAGGTGAGTATTACACTCATGCATAATTCCTGAAGCTCACTTTACATTGAAGTGTTAGCACCAAAGATATTGTCTAAGAGGAAAATGAATGCTTCGTAATTAAATCATCAATTTCAGTACATCAGGATAATCCTCTCGAGCTGAAAATCTCCATAATTTCTAAATTCACACAGGTTATTCGACATGTAGCTGCCAGTCAAGTGAACAAAGATCCGGTCTTCTAAACAGTCAGTGTTAGGTTAATATGTCAGTGAAAATACCCGCCACACACTTAGATGCAGATAAACTCAGCTGATGACATATATATACAACTTTAGTCCACACATATTGTAAATATTGATTCCAAATCATATAATTCGTGTTTGTTTGACAGATCTCAGCTCACCCCTAACTGGAGATGGTTCACGTGGTCGAACATACACTGTATCTATTGAAGAAAAGCATTCATCTCAACCAAATTTAGCTACAAACGGACATGATTCAACAAATGGTACACAAGTAACAAGAACTCTGAGAAATATATTGACTGGTGAAAATTGTGATACTTATAGTGTATGCCAAGAGATGCGTAGTGAAAAGTTGGATGGAAGTATGGGTCTTCAAGGAGGATTACAAAGAAAACGTAAGACTATTTTCTAAATTAATTATCATAGTGAATACTGTTCTAAGGCTTTATGTCATTTGATATACATATTGCTTGCACTTATCGAAAATTTGAGAGTCCAGCTGTTTTCTAAGCCATTTCATACACATCCATCATTATCTACAGGTTATGATTACTTCTCTATCACAGAGTGAAATGCGACGCGCTCATTTATGTGAAACTAGCTAGATAGATAGTGACTATCACTGGAATCCAGGAGGAGAATTTCATCATTAGCTGAATGTATCTTCTAATTAGTGAGTGATGGTATCCCCCCTGTGATTCGAACCCAGCACCTATTATGGGAAACACCAAAGCGTTATCTGGCAGACTAATGAGGCACGACATGAACATAAATATATTCTGGGCTTAAATATATTTGTTACTTGACAGGTAATTGGCTAACATGTGCGGAAGCTTTTCAATATATGCTTCCAAGAAGTACTGTCCAAAGCCATTCGCTACTCCAAGAAATGTGGTAAAATGATACACCGGTTGATCACTGCGAGGTAACTGATATAATGTCTAGGAGCTCAGCGAATTCTATCAATCGGTGTGATTGCCAGGCTAAGTAACTTGACATCGCGGTGCACTTTGAAGAATAGATGTTGAATGATTAACAGTCGGCGCGAAGTCTTGGCACTTATTATCTGCGCGTATCTGCAACCTCTAAGAAACTGTGATATCCCTTAGGACATTCGAACTTGCAGCAGTTGTAGAAACGCCTTGATGACAAGTGCCAGGAAGCACGTTTTCAAACAAGGGAAGAATTCACAAATTTATTCAAGGCAAGAGAGGTATAGTCAACATTTTGATAAATATACATGGCATTCTCTAATTTTATCCGCATTATTATTTTTGTTTCAGTCGAAAGGCGAATTCCCCATAAATTGCGTGTGCGCGTGATATAAAGTGATTAGGAAAAACTTGAATTATGACGCCATTACTGAAAACGTGGTGACCATTACCTTGCCTCAATTTGAACATGTTGCTTTCATGAAACAAATGAATTTAAGAAACGAGTAGTGTTTAGGCTGAAGTTGAAATATTAAATAAATATCATTATCTACAGGTTTATGATTACTTCTGTTTTACACAGCAAAATAGGATACACTCATTTATGTGAAAATAACTAGACAGGTGGTGATTATCAGTGAAATACAGGAGGAGTATTACATCCTGTTTGAGATTCGTCAACTGGATTCACCTTCTAATTAGTAAGTGATGGTATCCCCCATTGGAACTAGCATGAACCAAACATTTGCTATTCGAAGCTCCAAACCATTAATCAGTCTCCTAAATATGTAGTACTTTAGCGTTAGAATATAAAGACATGAACTAGGGTTGGTTTTGTTGAGAGACTATAGTGGATAAGATTATGTTTCAGAATTGCAACATTAGTGGTTATAAGCAGTAGTAATAGTAGTGTAGTGTGTGCTACTCACATGATTTTGTAAGTAGTGTATTGTGTGTGACGGGTTTCTTGAGAATATTGAAAAGTAGAGCGACGGACGAAGTTATAAAGTGGAGAATGAAAAACAGTGCAAAAAGCACTAAAAGAGGATGAAATAAGTGATAATACAAAGAACATTTGCTAATGTTAAGTTTCTATGTCTCTTTAGAGCTGCACATCACTTTGCCGAATAAAACATTTTGCTATCAAAATCAAAGAACTTTCAACGCAGTTAAGTTATGCTGTATATATTTACTAACCAACCAACACTTAGTTCACATTGTAAAAACAAACTGCCCTGTTTCACCTCTTCCATGTGTATTTACCAGTATAACTGCCCATACGGAGCTACCTAATTTAGGCGTACGATCAGACAAGTTCATTGTTGAATTTCTGAACACCTTCCATCTTGATTAAGCGAAAGTTCGACTAAATCTGAGCTCAATACTAGCTCACCTCGTCGATGCTGGACATCAGTTGGACTCCAAGAAAGCTTTTAAAGGTCTTTTTCGTGTTGCACTCAGCTTTTCGCATAGCCTGCGGGTACGGCTTAGCATACAACAGAGACAATCAGAATTCATCTAAACAAGCCAAATCTGTGTGTTCAAAAGAAATTTGTACAGCCCCGTTATCTGGCATGACCAACTGCATAACATGTATTAAGTTTGTAAAAACTTCTCAAGAATTGGTTTTGTAAGGATTTTCTTTTGATTGGTTGGAAGATTTCATCATGAGTTGAAATCAGTTAGAGAAGCATTGAAAACCAGCAGGGAGTACTAGGCAGCTGTTTCATCCTGGTTTGGGACTCTTCAGCACCACACAGCGGTTCCAACTCAGGACCTTCTAGTTACAAGGTGAGCTCGTAAACCATTAAGCCACTAGGTCCTGATCCAGTAGCCAGCCCATGAAATCTAACCTCTGCCAATTCATGACATATAGCGAAGACGTGACCAGTAGGACACAGAAAGTTGAAGGTGAAGCAGTAACTCATCGAAGAAGACATTGCGAAATGGTCGAGTTATGTCGTGAATTGGCAGAAGTTAGATTTTATAAGCCATTAGATTGGGTCCCAGTGGCTTAATGGTCTACGAGCTCGCTAGCCTTGTAACCAGAGGGTCCTGAGTTAGAGTCCCGGTGGATACGTCCTGTTGAAGAGTCCCAAACCAGGACGTAAAAGCTGTCCAGTAATCACAAGTTATTGAAAACTATTTTTCCCTTCCCTTGTAACCATCTTTTGACTTTTTTTAAATTTTCACAACTCTAGCTAATTCTATTAACTTGTTTGTTGTGGTTGTTTTCGTTACCAAATGCGTCAGTGGGAATTTGGAAATTATTGATTTCTTCCTTTGTTTGTGAACATTTTCACCAAACTTGTAAATTAGTTTTTACATGACACTTACTATCAGACAGACTTAGTGAATCCTCTTCTCTCTCTCTCTCTCTTATAGTAAAGAATACAATTAACATAAATTAATGACTGATACTTTCTTTATCATAATTCTGAAGACTGGTTATTAGAATAGAGAAAATCCTGTCAGACAGTGATATCATAAACACAACGTTCTAATGCAGAAAACCTGATGGACATGAAGAAGAGGTTCTGCTTGTTGTTCATCAATCACTTCTCAGGGGAATATCTGTGAAAATTGCTTCTTTTTGTTTGTTTATGCAATATCTCGTGTGAACCAATGCTACGTAGGTGAATTAATTAATACGTTGCCAGTGAATTTAGAAACAAAATAAGGCCTCATTTTCATCCTGTCTTGTGATGTTACGTAATCATACTCAAGCTCAAAGCATCCATCAGGCTGAAGACTTATAAGACTAGCGGCGTTTCACTAAGTCAGCTGGTTACTAGTGTAGTTGACAGACATGTGAATTCATATTGTCTGACTCTGTATTCACAACCCACTCCGCCTTCGATTTCATCAGATAGGACTAGAAGTCAGTATAAAAGAATACATGCTCGCACTAATAAGCATAAAAACTCAAGGATGCCCTACCTGGCCTGCATTCTATGTGATAGAGGTGGTGTTAAGCGTGAGACCTATGAATTACCATGTAATCAACAAAATAACCAGCGGTTTCATCCTAGTTTAGGAATCATTCGTGATTTAGCGTGACCACCAACCGATGTCATCGATGGGACATCCATCCTCACACGTGACTGGATGCACCTCACTGGTCATGACTTCTCACTAGAACTTCAGGAAATTCCGTCATGCAGCAAGTCACTAGTGAGCATCAGATTAAATTCCAAGAGTTGGATTTGTTTTTACGAGTGAGATCCATCCAGTAAAGTGTGAGGATGGATGTCCCATCGATGACATTGGTTGGCAGTCGCACTAAATCATGAATTGGTAGAAGTTAGAATTCCTGTGTTGTTCATTGAATCGAGTCCCATTGGCTAAATGGTATACAAGCTTGCCTTACAAACAGGAGGTGTGGGTTCGAACCTGCTGTGGTGGGTGCCTACTGCCGATGATTCCCAAACTAGGCTAATGAAACAGCTGTCCAGTACTCTCAACTGGTTTTCATCAGTTCTCTAACTGACATCAATCCGTCGCCAAACTCGTAACCAAAATCTCATCCTTACAAACCAACTATTGAAAATAACTGGCTCTTTTATCCTTTTCTATTTATAATTTTTCGTGACAGTATTTCAAATGTCTCATAATTTCACCTATTAACATTACTGTCATCATCATTTTACAGTTCTTGTACATTTTTGACTTTATTGCCACTGCTAATAACAAAAAGCTGGTATTATCAATTCTGGTTTCTCTCAGCATTTGGTAAAAAAACTTCAGTGTGAAGTCAGTGCTACTATACGGATCAGAGACTTGCACTGCGCGTCATAAAGAGCATCTCAAACAAACTACAGACCTTCATTAACAGTTGTCTTCGCTCAATACTCAAGATTAGATGGCCAAAAAAGATCAGCAACAGGGAGGGATATCAGGGAGCGAACCAACACAGCAGGAACCGATTGTGAAAGAAATGGGCAGGAAGAAATGGAGATGGATTGGCTGGCCATACTCTGAGGAAACCATCAAGTGAGTGACATCACCAGACAAGCCCTTTAGTGGAACCCAAAAGGGAAGCGGCGAGTTGGTCGTCATTGCAAGGGTGACTTGGAGGAGGTTATGTGAAGAGGAGATGAAAACGTGTGGGCAGACTTGGACCCAGGTGAAGACTCTAGCAGAGAACCGAACGCAATGGAGACGCATGGCTGAAGCCCTATGTTCCTCTAGGAATTAAAGGAAGAAATAATAATATAATAATCAGTTCTGGTTACCTATATCCTGTAATCTAATTGTTTTTTGTGTTTTCGCTTTTGTCGAGTAATATCGTACCAAATGCTGAGAATCCCATACTGTATCATAAGTACTATTTCGAAATAAAGCGAATCATTTTTATAATCATTAGTAGTAGCAGTAGTTAGAAAATTTAATTGTTATGGGAAGTTCTCACTTCGTTCAAAGTTTTTTGAAGAGTCAGGTGTAGCGGCTGAAATCATTACTTGTTCTCATAATATCAGTA